TTCTGGATCAGCAGGTTCTGGATCAGCAGCTTCTGGACCAGCTGGTTCTGGATCAGCTGCAGCTGGAGGATGATTTGTTGGACAGGGAAGACGCTGTTACAATAATCAATGCGACTAAAGATAAACGCATGAATGAGTTTCTCTAGATCTGGCTGAGACATTAGTCCTCTAATCCTGGATGTTCTTCAGGTGATGGAAGGCCGACTTTGTAACTGTCTTTATGTGGCTCGCAAGGTTCAGGTCAGAGGTCATCACTACTCCAAGGTTTCAGGCTGATCGCTAGTTTTTAGTTGTAATAACTGAAGCTGTGCATTGAATCTAGATCTAAACCTAGATCTATAGCTCTAGATCTATAGCTCTAGATTGTTCCTTTAGATTTAGGGTTACAGCCAATCAAAGTTATAGATCAGATATTATGAAACATCAAATAAAAATGTAAATATATTCATACGGTTTAAATAAAACTGTAATAAATTAGATTAAATAATGAGGCCATGAATGATAAACAGATCTGAGTGGAAAACAGGTGGATCTCACACACACCACACACACCACACACACACACACACACACACACACACACACACCACACACACACACAACACACACACACACACACACACCTCCAGCTGCTCTGCGGGTTGCCATAGTTTCCATTCGGTCTCTGAACAGGAAGTGATGAAACTCGTTCATCAGATTCATCGCCTCGGGATCTGGATTCTGCCAGGAAACCACAGAGGAAGAGCGCGGCTCCTTCATCACCTCCTCCTCTTCCTCCACCTGCTCGGAACTGCCTTCAGGACATCCTGCCGTTTTTGGGTCAGAACTCTGAGCGGCTTCACATCCAGAACCGGGTCAAATTATTTCAACTAAACGCTGAATATAAAATAAAACCTGATAAAAACAAAATACTGAAACAGGCAGGAGGGTTGATGCCCCCACCTGTTTCTGAGTCCTGATCAGACAATATTCTCATGATATTCTGGTTGTTGCTGTGTGAAAATGACGGAACGTTTTGGTTTGGTCCAAACTTCTCCATCTGAACCTCGAGACTCCGGTCCGTTTAGATAAACGACGTTTAACCAGGAAGAACGAACCGTTTCCATCTGATGGAAGATTATAACAGACACAACGAGTCATTATTGGATTATTGAAAGACCACAAGACATCAGAACCAGAACAGAACCAGAACCAGAACCAGTTGCACATTTACCATGTTTTTTCTCCTGAATCCAGATTCAGTCGTCTGGAGGAGAAACGGAATGAAAACTTTGTATTTTTAGGCTCTGGAAGTTTAATTATTAAAATCATTTCTAATATGTTGTGGCGTTTGTGACAATTAGAATAAAGATTATAAAAAGATAAGGATGAACGTGTGGAAGATCATCATGAAGAGCAACGTTACACCAGGAGGAAACTAAACCAACGTCATCTGCATAAAGTCGGATATTCTTCTGATTTCAAAGAATAAAATCAGAGATTCACAACAGAACTGCTTCTCATTTTATGAGATTAAACTAAAATATCAAATATTAATGAGATTTTCTGTGGCAGATAAATGTAGCATCAGTTTTTCTGTAGGATTTTATTTGTCAGACAGGAGACCAGAGCGGGTGGAGCGATCAGGGGAGGAAATTATGAAAAATAATATATTGTGATAAAATAATTTATATGGCTATTCTCATCTTGTGGTTTGTAATATAAAGTATTTATTTTGTATTTAGTTTAACCAATTTTGATTATTTTTTCTTCAGAAAAGCTGAATTTTGGCATTTTCCATTCAAAAGCAGCAGTGAGTTGAGCCTCACCTGGACTGATCAGCCTCTGGCTAACAGCATAGATGATTCTACGGCTCCTCCTGTCTGAACGGCGCCAATAAATGGATAAAGCTCTGAGCTAGCCATGGAGCTAGCCATGGAGCTAGCCACGGAGCTAGCCATGGAGCTAGCCACAGAGCTAGCCATGGAGCTAGCCATGGAGCTAGCCCTGAAGCTAGCCACAGAGCTAGCCATGGAGCTAGCCACAGAGCTAGCCATGGAGCTAGCCACAGAGCTAGCCATGGAGCTAGCCACGGAGCTAGCCATGGAGCTAGCCACAGAGCTAGCCATGGAGCTAGCCACGGAGCTAGCCATGGAGCTAGCCATGGAGCTAGCCACAGAGCTAGCCATGGAGCTAGCCATGGAGCTAGCCACAGAGCTAGCCATGGAGCTAGCCATGGAGCTAGCCACAGAGCTAGCCATGGAGCTAGCCACGGAGCTAGCCATGGAGCTAGCCACAGAGCTAGCCACGGAGCTAGCCACAGAGCTAGCCACAGAGCTAGCCATGGAGCTAGCCCTGAAGCTAGCCACAGAGCTAGCCACGGAGCTAGCCACAGAGCTAGCCATGGAGCTGGCCACAGAGCTAGCCATGGAGCTAGCCACAGAGCTAGCCATGGAGCTAACCACAGAGCTAGCCATACAGTAAAGTGCAGCGATATTTCTCCTTTCCACATCAATCACCTTCTCTCTCAGGGAGGAAACCCGTTTCAGCCGATGTATCCCAGATCTCGTTCTTTCAGTCGTGACCCAAAGCTCCTGACCAGAGATGAGGGTGGGAACGTAGATCGACCGGTAAATCGAGAGCTTCGCTTTCTGGCTCAGCTCTCTCCACCATGACGGGCCGGTCCAGTTCCCTGCAGACGCTGTTCCAATCCGCCTTATTGCTGGCAAGTGGACCAGACTCTGACACGGTCATAACCGGTCAATGACATCTTTATGCATTTTCTCCCTTATTGTGTATTAAACTAATGTTTTAAGCTGGCTGTTCTCTGCAGCATCAGAAACCGTTTCACTGATTTCAACAGAAAACTTTTATTCTGTGGTTCTGGTTTATCTGACCCGTTTGGTGCTTGTTGCTCACCCAGCTGTCTGAACACTTTCATATCTCAACTCTGCAGGTTTTGCAGCAGAACAAACAGGAAACCACAGAAACAGCAGCAGCTTGTTGCAGTTTGAGCTGCTCTGCTGATCCGACAGATTACAGATTATCTCTCACGTCACTTTGATAATATGTGATAAAATGACTAGAAATCAATAAGTCCCGATGGATTCTGCAGCTGAAGGATGAAAAGTTTCCTCAAAAGTTTCACTAAAAACTGACCAGATCGTCAAAAGAAGAATTTATTGAGCAACAGGAGGAAGTTGAGATGTCATAGTAAAGATGGCTGCCGTTGCTCAGAGGTCGACCTTTGACCCGGTCTGCCATGTTCTCCTGTCCTGCTGAGGTTCCACAAGGCTCCGTTATGTTACTTCATTCTGGTTTCATCCAGTCCTGTTCAGAAATCTGTTTTTATGCTGATGACACTGAACTGTATTTTCAACACAATCTGTTGGAATCACATCAGATATAAATCAGACATTCTTTTTACGTGTCGGTGGTTCTGACCCAGAATGCCTGTAGAACCGGGCTTTTAGCAGAAAGAAGTTTCTCTGCAGCCGAAGCGTTTCTGTGTTTCGGGTCGAGGCGGGTTTTCTATTTATGAATAGAAGAAACGGTTTTTCTAACATCAACATCAGACCTATGTTTTTAATCACAAACCAGAGTATGAAACAATATTCTTGCCCATAATGTGACAGTAAGAGGCTCAGATGGAGTCTGAACAACATGGAGGCAGAAATATTAAATTATTATATTCAGATAAATGTTCCTGCTGAGGGGCAGAAGCAGGCCTTCTGACATACAGATAAAAAATGACAACAAAACCTCTGCCCCCTCTGCCCCCTCTGCCCCCCTCTGCCCCCTTCTACCCCCCTCTGCCCCCTTTTACCCCGCTCTGCCCCCCTCTGCCCCCTTCTACCCCCCTCTGCCCCCTTCTACCCCCCTCTGCCCCCTTCTACCCCCCTCTGCCCCCCTCTGCCCCCTTTTACCCCCCTCCCCCCCTCTGCCCCCTTCTACCCCCCTCTGCCCCCCTCTGCCCCCTTTTACCCCCCTCTGCCCCCTTTGCCCCCCTCTGCCCCACTGAAGAGATGAAACCAAAACATCAATAAATAAATAAAACCCAAACCAACAGCAGAACCTCTGCAGCCTCTGACCTTTGACCTTCATCTGACCTGAAGCCCAAAGTCCAGCTGGATGTGTCCGGTTGTTTTGTAAACATTTTCCTGGATGAACTTTAACCTCCAGCAGGAAAAACACCAAAGATCCAAACACACCAGAGCAACTAAACTATAGATGATCAATAATTGATGCTTCATGCCAGTAACTTTATTCTTTATGAAATTTTGAAATCTAAAATCATGATTTTATTTTGACAAGCTGACATATTTCCTGTGACCAGTTGAATTTTCTTTCCAGTTTGGTGATGAAAATATTTAAATTTAAATGAATTTATTGTCTTTAAAGATTTGATGCTGCATTATTGATTTATTGCATTTCATCTTTAAGACTTTTGTGTTTTTTCTGCTGCAGTTTAAAGCAGAACCAACTCTGGGTTTGAAATGATAAACGTCTGAAATGAACGACATCCTGGTTCCGATCAGAACCTGATCGGAACCAGGATGCAGTAATAAATCTGGTTCTGATCAGGTTCTGATCATAATGCCGCCGTCGCAGCTTTACTTTCCTAACAGGAAGTAATCCTGGATCCGTTTCATTTGGCCCAGTCGGTTCTGGTTCTGGTTAGCGGACAGTTTTTCTCTCCACAGTCGCCTCATGCACGTCTGTCAGGATTTAAACCACAAACTGAACAGAACCGAGTTGGAGATGATTTTAGTTTTGAATGTACAATAAATAAATAAACTGAATCAAATTTAATATATTTTAATCTCAACTGTTTTCTGAGGCTAAAAGCAGAAAATCATTATAATTAATTTAAATATAAGTTTTTAAACAATAAACTGTTTAAATAATTTAATCTGACATCAATAAATGTTCTCATTTACTGCATATTAATAAATGAGAATATTATTTTTATTAAATGTTCCCTTATTTGATGGGAATGTAAATAAAAGAGTCACCTCTCGTTCATTTTGGGCTTTTATTTTGAAGTTCCACAGAGTCATAAATCTACATATTTTTGTCTTTGATGAAACTAATATTTACACAAACATCAAACAAAACAAGACAATCATCTTTATAACTTTATATTCACTCCGTTTCGTTTTTTAACAGGAGGTTTATCTACAGATCCGGATCAGATCCGGATCGGGTCGGTCCGGATCGGGTCGGTCCGGTCCGGATCAGATCGGGTCGGTCCGAATCGGGTCGGTCCGGATCGGATCGGGTCGGTCCGGATCGGATCAGATCGGGTCGGTCCGAATCGGGTCGGTCCAGGACTTTTCCTTTGACCTCAATAAATCCTGAAAAACAAAAAGAAAAAATATTTTAATTGATTTGATCAGAACCAGATTTATTAAAACCAGGTAAACATGAAATCTGGATCTCCGTGGCGACAGAGAGGAAAAACCTCTGTGACCTGTGACCTGAGCACAGGTCACAGGTCACAGGTCACAGGTCACAGGTCACAGGTCACGTCTCCCTCTGGTCCAGGTGACCAGGACAAAGTTCTGTTCGGTCCAAACAAGCAGCTTTAACTTTCCTCACGACGTTTCTGAGCAGAAGGAGGTTTATCACCGAGCGACCGGGAGGTTCTGGTGGACCCGACGGGTCTGAACGGGTCTGGTTCTGATGGGTTTAGACGGGTCTGAACGGGTCTGGTTCTGATGGGTTTAGACGGGTCTGAACGGGTCTGGTTCTGGTGGGTTTTGACGGGTCTGAACAGGTCTGGTTCTGGTGGGTTTTGACGGGTCTGGTTCTGGTGGGTTTAGACGGGTCTGGTTCTGATGGGTTTTGACGGGTCTGGTTCTGGTGGGTTTTTGACGGGTCTGGTTCTGATGGGTTTAGACGGGTCTGAACGGGTCTGGTTCTGATGGGTTTAGACGGGTCTGAACGGGTCTGGTTCTGATGGGTTTAGACGGGTCTGAACGGGTCTGGTTCTGGTGGGTTTTGACGGGTCTGGTTCTGATGGGTTTTGACGGGTCTGGTTCTGGTGGGTTTTGACGGGTCTGGTTCTGGTGGGTTTTGACGGGTCTGAACGGGTCTGGTTCTGGTGGGTTTTGACGGGTCTGGTTCTGATGGGTTTTGACGGGTCTGGTTCTGGTGGGTTTAGACGGGTCTGAACGGGTCTGGTTCTGATGGGTTTAGACGGGTCTGAACGGGTCTGGTTCTGGTGGTTTTGACGGGTCTGGTTCTGAGTCCGACTCCTGGACTGAATTTTTTTCCGCTGCTGTTTTGTTTTCCTCTGAATCAGAACCGGGTCAGAAAACCCAAACCCGGTCAGTAGGTTATCATGTTTATAAAAATATTTACTATCATATTAACTGATATTCATTTTCATCTGCTGTTTCCTGTTATACTTTCAGAATAAAAGCACTCTGAGTTTTAAAGGTTTAAAACTTTTTTCCTCTGAAATGAAATACTGGAATCAAACCCAAGAGGTTCTGTTCAGTTCTGTTTGGATCTCTGTGGTTCTGTTTTGTTCTCTGTGGTTCTGTTTGGATCTCTGTGGTTCTATGAGGTTCTGTGAGGTTCTCTGTGGTTCTGTTGGGTTCTGTTCAGTTCTGTGAGGTTCTCTGTGGTTCTGTTGGGTTCTGTGTGGTTCTGTTGGGTTCTGTGTGGTTCTGTTGGGTTCTGTGTGGTTCTGTGAGGTCCGGTACTCACACTGACTCATCCACAGCCGCAGCGTCATCAGGACGTTGAAAGCCACCGTCTTCATGAAAATGACTCTCAGGCCGAAGATGGTGATGGAGGCCAGATTCACCATTTCATCTGCAAACAGCAGCAGCCATTAAAACACCGACCTTTCAACACAGCAGAGGTCATTGAGGTCACCGGGTTCAACCTACCTGGTTCCAGGTTGGCGTCACATTGGACCGGTTCTGTGCTGTTCCCTGGTCAGCAAACACAACAAGCAGCCATCAGTGAATCAGTGAATGAATGAATCAGTGAATGAGTGAATCAGTGAATCAGTGAATGAGTGAATCAGTGAATGAGTGAATGAGTGAATGAATGAATCAGTCAGACTCACCTCCACATGTCTCTCCTGCGGTCAGAAAGGCCACCTGGCTGAAGGCGCCTGTCGGTTTCCCATCAGCGTCTCTAATCGGACTCGGCGAATTGTTCTGAAAGGCAGTTTCATTCATTGTTGCATTGAGTCGAGTAAATCCAGTCGCCAGACAAACTGTGGTGCCGCCGTCGTCAATCGGACCCAGATCGTAAAAATCCGGTTTTAGTTTCATTCTCTGACACACAGAAATCATGAATATAAAACATTAAACCTTTTCGTTTCCTTCAGTGGCAGAAAGCTTGTGATGTCCTTCATGAGTCCGTTCACTGGTTCTGATCCGGTTCTGCCAAACCCGGCCAGAACCAGATGGTTCTGATCCGGTTCTGCCAAGCCCGGCCAGAACCAGATGGTTTCATTAATTCACTCATTCTTACAGATTTTATTGTTTTTGTTCAACTTTAAACTCGATTCTGGTTTAAAAAACGTCGAGTTTGTTTTTTGCTATATTTGATCCTCATTAAGATTTTAATTGAGCCAAATAATAAAAACATAAAGACGATAAATATAATAAATATAAATGTTTTACGGGTTTAAAGTGTCGATATGAAGCAGAACTGAATAAATCTGAGGATTTTGTTTGAAAATGATCCAAACTGTCGTTTCCTGAATCTGACTAATCTCATTAAAGTTATATAAATATTTTCTCTCACATATTTAATGGCTGATGTTGGATCAGAACCAGCAGCTGACACAACCAACCAGACCGACACAAAAACGGCGCTCCAGGGACGTCAGCTCACATTTAATACTTTTACACCAAATTACAAAAATGATTTTATTCATTAAGATCCAAAGAAATCCTCACTGAGTTTAAATCATTTTCTGCATATTTATTGAGATTAATTATTCATTTTAAACTGGAGGAAAAACTGATGGAACTGAATCTCAAATAAATTAAATGTAATAATTTTATATAAAATCCTGCAGCAGATTTTAGCTGCGATGTGAATTTGTTTTTTGTTTTTGTGAATTTGTAATTTGTTTGGTGATTTTTCATAAATATGAAATGTTAGGAATCAACTCACTAGCAGAAACAAAACAGTTTGAGTCCAGATCCAAACATCAGCTTCACATTGTTGCTGTTCACACTGGAGTGGAACCAGTAACAGAAACCGGTTCATACTGGAACCAGCTCCAGGGTTCATACTGGACCAAAATGATCGATCTGAACTTCAGAATTAAACTGATTCATCCTTCAATATTTTCTGTTTATTTGGTAGAAACTTTAAGCATCTTTAAGGTGTTTCAATGTTTGGACCAAATTGTTGTAAAAATGAAAGTTTGGAGTTAAATTGATAAAAAACGTTGAATGGACTCACTTTGCTCCACTGACAGTTTGGTTCCGGGTCCAAACTGGATTTTATTGAGTCCAGTTTGTGTCACACAGCGACGCAGCGCCAGACAGAAACATGACGACAGATTATCCATCAGATTATCCACATTAAATCAGATTATTTTAGCTCTAAACCTGAGAAAATGTGATAATAATGAATAATATTTACATAGAATTAAATGAATTATTAACGTTTTCTCTTTAATTTAATGCATTTCTGACTCGATGTTTAAAACATGAAATTATTGATTTATGTGGAAATGATCTGAATGTTTTACAGTTATTTGATCTGAGCTACAATTCAACATGTGATGTGAATTATTCGTCTGTTATTGTCAGAAACTAGTTTGAATGAATAAAAACTGAAGCTGATTTTGTTTTTAGATCATTTGACAGTTTTAGAAGTTTTCTGTTTGATGGAGAATTAATGATTAAATCACATTTTGCTTTAGAAAATAATGAGTTCCTGTAAAAGTGATTAAATGAAGACGATGAATCGTGCTGAACTGGACTCACTTTGCTCCACTGACAGTTTGGTTCCGGGTCCAAACTGGATTTTGAGTCCAGTTTGTGTCACACAGCGACGCGGCGCCAGACCGAAACCCGACCGTTTCTGATCCATTAACTTTGATCAGATCCTGATTGTTGGTGAAGTTTATTAGAACTAAATCTTTGTCTTGGTTCAGCTGAAATCTTTTTCTGTTCAGATTTATGATTATTATTATTATTTAGAAAAATTTACAAATCGTGAAAATTTGAAGCATCAATTTTGACCTGTGTGATGATTAAAGTTCATTTAAATAAATCTGTTTCTCCAACTGCAATAATCTGTAAAAATGGTAAATATTTGACAGGCAGAAGGTTCCGGGTCCAAACAGCAGAACCTTCAGTTTCTCTCTGGTTCTGTTGGTTCTTTAGGGTTTAATTTGGATTAATCTGAGTTTAAAACCCATAAGATATTTTCTTTCACCTGTAATCTGATTCAGTAGAGAAATTGTTCTGATAACGACATAAAATGAACTGAGAAGTTTAAATCTCAACTAAAAACCAGTTTTATTAGAATATTTAATATTTAATAATGTTTATTGTATGACTTTGTGTTTATGATGTGAAGCTCTTTGAAATGCCTTGCTGCTGAAATGAGCTAAACTAAAAACATTTGATTTGATTGTTTTTGCAAAGATTTAAAGAACAGAAATATTATTATTGCATAATAAAAATAATCATTATGACAATAAGAATAAAAGTTTGATTCAAACATTTCAGTAATCAGCTTCACACAGTAAAGATATTTATGTATTTTTGGATAATTTTTATGATTTAATGATGAATATTTTGAACTCACTCGTTCCACGATAAGATTTACAGTTTGAAAAAAACTCCAGCAAAAACCGAACCGGTCGACGTTTGGTCATGTTTCATAAATTCAGCTTTTCTCTGCTGCTGATCCAGTTGAAATCAATATTTAAATGAAGCTGATTGATAATCAATCACTTCCAGTTAATTCTGGAGAAAACGCTGTTTGTGCCAGATTGTCAGGATATTTTCTTACGGTTCTGAACCTTCAGCTCGGTTCCGGACCCGAAGCGGATCTTCCAGGTCCCGTTCACACACCAACATCCTGCTCAGCAGAAACTCCAGCATGAAACCGGCTGGTTTTAATCTGAGCAGATTAAATCCATGGTCCTCAGATTCAAGACAATTTTACATGTTTGGAGCAAAACCTTTTTTAATGAAAATAATGTTCTGCTCTCTTTACAAAACAAAATCATATCCAAGTTAAATAAACAATATGTTTCCTCAGATGTTTGATTCAATAATAACTGATTTATTAATGACCAAAGGATTTGAAGTCTAAGATGTAAATTATTTTTTTAAATCAAATTTCTGATTTCAGATTGAAAATGATAATTTTCAAAAGCTTTGAAATGATTCTGGAGTTGTAACAATTTATTAATCTCTGTTTATCGTGAAGCTTAATAAATTGAAATATCATTTAGACATGAATGTGAAATTCTTACTGGGTTGGATGAAAAGTGACTCCGCTGCCAAAGATGATTTTTCTTGCAGCGTCGTTCACACAGCTCACATCATCAACTCAAACCTACCAACTTTTAACACCAACAACGTTCCTGTCTGCGCAAAACTCTGAATAATACCATAAAAATACTTCATTATCACCAGACGCGTGACAGTAAATTGGTTTTTATGGATTTATCCTTTAGAAAAAATCACTAATCCTGACAAACAGATTTCACCCAGAAACACAAAGTCAAGGCGTACGCAGACGATGTGAACGTATTCGACCCTAAAATGTAATAAATGATTAAAATGTAACAAAGTGATGAATCTTTGAGGCCTAAAATGTGACGCAGATGGAAATATTTGTGTTTATAAAGATAATATTTACTCAATACTGCAGACTCCAGAACCAAACAGGAGGTTCTGATCAATAACTGATAGATATGATCTAATTTTAAGTGGTTTCTGCTCAGTTTTTCCAGTCCCACCAGTTGGGACCCAACAGGAACCATCAGAGCAGCTAAAATTCATTTTAGCTGCATTTTAAATCTCATCCCGTATTTATGAGAATAATTTGGTCTTTAATCAAACCAAATCATTATTATTTATGAGTTTGGAGCCAAACTTTTGTTTGGTTCCTTCACCAAACAAAAGTTTATTCATATCTTAAATGATTTTCTGATATAAAAACATTTTCAGGTTTCAGGATTACAGTTTCTGAACGGTTTATGGTGAACTGGCTTTGTTTCCTCCCAGTGAATCCAGTTTGGATCTTCTGAGTTTCACACAGTGAGAACAGGAACAGAATCTGAGCTGGGATTATAATCTGAGCTCCAGATTAACGCGCCGCGTTCAGGTATCAGTAAGAATAATCTGGACTTTAACTAATGAATCCAACACCAATAAAAACACAGGATATTAAAGGTTATAGTGAGAATCTGCTCCCAGTACAACCAGTTTACCAGTTTAACTGGTTACCAGTAAAATAAAAAACACATGATGTAAAACTGTTACTGGTTAAATGTGCTGGTCTTACTGGTTTCTACGTTTAGACTGGTTCCAGAGCCGAAGTGGATCCTGACTCCGTCATTCACACTGTGGAACCCGACCCGACAAAAACCCACCAGAACCACCGAGCCGGCCCGGTTCTGCCCTCCATGGACAGAACCGGGCAAACTGCTTTATTACCATTTAAACTGGAACTGGGGATTTTATGTCTAATTTTTAAGTTAATTTAATTTTAATAATTTAGTTTATAAAATGTTTGTTAATTTTAATAAAATTTCTGGATGTGAAATTTTACTGAAATATGAACTGCAGAATAAAAAAGAACGACTAAATGAATGTTAATGAATGAATGTGAACGTATTTGACATTTAGGGTCAAATACGTTCACATCGTCTGCGTACGCTTTGACTTTGTGTTTCTGGATTTGATCTGATTTTAAAAACCATGAAACGAAATCCGGAGTTTTAATAAAACGCTGTGAATGAATTCAGACATTAAACTCACTGATCGCCACCGTCAGTTTGGTTCCTTCGCCAAACAAAAGTCTCCAACCGGACCCAGCAGCAGACACTCTGCATCTGAGCCGACCAAAAACCCAGCTGACTTTTTACAGTGCAACATTCAGCAGCTGCTCGAAAACTTCAAAACTTTTATCAAACCTACTGATGGTGATTCAGATTTCAGAAAAATTCAGAAAAATTCCACTACATACGCTTTTTCCTTCTTTCTTCCTTTTTTTTTTTGTGTAAATGAAAGGATCGGCATCCGTTTTATTCAGAGTTTAGCTCGTCTGCAAAGGAAATTAAACTAAA